GTATTTTTTAAAAATACGAAAATTTTAATTAAACTAATTGCACTCATGATTTTTTATTCAAATAATTAGTTCCGTTTTTTCTATTATGTCAATAAGATCAAAAAATATTATTCATGTTCTATCCGTGTGTAATTTGTAGGTACTATTATTTATTAACATCATAAGTTATAACGAACTTACCACAGGCAAAATTAACTTAAAAATAACTTTTTATGAAAATCTGATAAACATGTTTTACCTTTACGTAGGCAAAGTGGCACTTTACATGTATTGCACAGCCATACAGTACGCACTGGAGACATTTTAGTGCTACAATTGCAGCATCTTCTCGAAGCGCTTCTCTCGTCGCAACTGCATTCTAGATGAATTTCGTCTGAACTCTTTCAGAGCCTGTGTACTTAGGTCCGGGTGTAAAGAGGACTGCAGTTTTTTTTTATAAATTAAAAAGGCATTGACAATACAGCAACCAAGGAAGTGAAAAAAATCCTATGCCACCACTTGTGGGATTTTCCCTCAACAGAATAACTTCCTTTTCGTTGATCGAATTTGTCGACATAATTCATGTTAAACACAGCATTGGAAATAGTACGGTACTTAAAAAAAATTGAATACTTATGTTTTATTGACATATTGCAGAAGTTGTAAATTACTTATTATTATTTAAAACACGGAAGCTTAATTTGATTTAAATGCAATACCTCAGATGAAGCAAATAATCTGAGTGCAATACGTAATAAAAATATTAATTACTTCGCAACCTTCCGCCAACTAAATACAATGATGTGTCTTACCTGAATTGAAGAGCACCTCCCGCCCTCCCTCAATTGCATGCACTAACTCCGTCACCACTAGTCCCAGCACCACTACTCCCAACACCACTACTCCCGGCACCACTACTTCCAACACCACTATTCCAGGTGAAACACACCGTCGACGATAATACGACACGTGTTGCGCCTCTACACGAGGCATCCTCAGGTGATGTAGACTCTATGGCGGCTGACCGCTAAGTGATCGGAAAAAATAGCTAATACTCTTAGAAAAAACGGCGATAACGTGTCATTCAAAACAAACAATTCGCTTAGGAATATTTGTAATAATAAAGATAAGTTAAATATTAGTCAAAAATCGGGTGTTTATAAACTTGTAACCAGTTCAAATTCCACAGCTAACATCTCACTACTAGTAGAGGGCTTCCAGTGCCAAGCAGTCCCTGGAGCAGATATTCGTATTTCGTATCTAAGTATATTTCTGAGGTATAAGAAATGAAAAACAAATTCAATCTTTCAAATTATCAAAATAATTTCATTTGACTACGATTCCCGCAGCCAACCGTGTGTACACTTGTGTGTGTGATCCGTGTCAATGTAGAAGTTCGATTCTATACCTATCAATTTTGTAAACGCGTCCTTAATATTTTAATTTTACGTCGTCCTATTGCGTAATGTGTGTTCTGAGCACAAGCGGCACAGCCCCTCCGTCATAGAGTAGAGTAATATATACAGAAACCCTCCGTTCAAAAGCCGGAGCTAGAGCAAATGACGGTGTCGGGCGGCAGGGAACAAACTTTAAAACGACGATAGTTTAGGTAATTTCTTTTTACGGTGAAAGTAATGATAAATAAAAAAGTAAATAACATAAGCCCTGCTTTATAGTTAGTTCAGTTAGTATGCAAAGTTTCAAGATCTAATTTTAAGTATATTTTTAAATAGCAGCGGTTTATAGTTCGGTTTGGAGGTAACTTTGGATTTTTTTTTCTATCGAGAAAATTGTGTTATCGTGTTTTCGTCTAACATAGTACTTAACATTAATCCTCAACTTTACCGTATGTTTATTTTCGGCATAACAGAGGATCTTGCTAAGCCTTTTGACGTACTATACGCCCTTAAGGAGCTACTTTCAAAATAATTCGTAATGGCTTGTGATTTGAACGGAACAAATCTTTCATTTGATTGGTATATTTTGTCAATTATTCTGTTAAATCTAATGGATCTACTGAGTAGATATAGTTTTAATTGATAACAATATCTCAGTTTAAAAGTCAACTCAACTTAGATAATAAGTTTCAGTTTTTTTGTGTTGTTTGTTATTAAAGAACTGTTTTATTACTAAAAGATTTTTGTTTGATATTAGAAGAGGAGACTTTGTTTTTTTTTCATATGTTATTAGATAGATACGGACGTCTTCTAAGTTTACTACTTAGAAGTTTATTAAAAATTATAGACATATACGTTAAACAATGTTTGATGCATAAAAGTCCATTGAAAAAATTCGTGAAAATAAATGTTTATCTTGTAATACTTACAATTTTTATTATTTTTTCCTAATTTATTCAAATATTGTGATTATTTGCAAAGAAAACAAACAAGACTGCCAATCTTGCGAGATCTCGACATTGGCGAGATCTCGCAGTATTGTTATTCATAAACTCGCAGATTCTCGCTTGAGCCCCAATCTCGCGAGATTTGCATTCCCTACATTTATTCAACATACTGACAAATGCTTGGTGTTGTCAAGCATGGTTCAAACTTTTATGTTAATTCCACCGATTGTCGCTAGATAGCGAGGATTTTAATTTATAAATTCGGAAATAGATGGTTAGTGACATTAAACACCAAAACTAAAAGAGTTAATGGACTCATGTCACAACACTCTTAATATGAGTTTTTGGCTTCTCTTAGCTTCCACCACATGATATCATTTCTTGTATAGTTACTACTATTCACAGAAAAAATAATTTAAATGACTTCAGTGATACTAATACTACTACCTTAAAATATAGAAAAATCCAGAAGCCGCGTCCAGCTGTAATTATATGCCGCACACTGTGTCCAAAAACAAAAAAAAAACATTCTGCGCCCGTCCCACTTCCCACCCGCGTAATATTGTTAGCTCAGAAAGTATACAGTATTTACCACTTTTTGGGGTAAAACGGTGATAACATTAGGGATAAGATAATAATGATAAAACATAATATATAGACGTATGACATAGTTGATATAATGAGAAAAGGTAAGTTTTGAAATCAAGGACAACTCCCAAAAATTTTACATTCTCCCTAATTGGGATAGGTTCATTATTATAGAGAATGTTGATTGTTTCAGGGACTTGCTTATGGCGAGAAAAGATAACAACACTACTTTTGGAAACAGACCAAGACAAACCATGCTCAGTTAACCAATCTTGTGAATAAGACATGGATAAATTCAAACGGGATCAAGCTGCAAGGTTATCCAGGAAAAAAATATAGAGCCATATCGTCTGAATATTGGAGGATGTTACAGAATGAGTTAACAGAAAGTCCTAAATCATAAGTATAGATAGAAGAGAGCAAAGGGCTAAGTACTGAGCCTTGTGGAAGACCCTTCCATATGGTTTTTGGTGGGAGTAGAGAATTTTGACTATAGTTCGTGCCAAATCGATTGAGAACAACGGACGATGACCTCAGATATGAGCAGAGTGTCAAAAGGCGTAACTTACAAAATCTCAATTTAGATGTGATAGATGTGATATTTAAATATTGATATTATTCACACTTCTAGGTCAGCACATGTTTTGTTTTTTGTTTCTTAAATAATATTGTCTGTGGTTCCTATAAACATCGTAAAATGATATAAATGATATAGAATAATAAAGAAAGTACTACATATAAAAGTGCCTATATTTTGAAGGTTTGTAGCAGGCTCGTCAATCTTAGAACAAATAAGCGTGTAATTCAGAATATTGTAGTGCAGCAAAATCATGGAGTACTTCAAGAACCTTTAGATGAAACGAAATGTTTTTATTTTTATTTATAGTACACTTCCAGTAATAGATGACAGCTTTTAAGCATTACGAAACGAGTTATTGTCATAGTTATACTACATTTTAACAGATGTCGCTAAAAGGTAGCGATTGCTGCCTGCATAAAGAATGTTGCTGAACTAATGATTTTCCCACAAAAACTGGCAGCTTAAATTTTATCAAGAATATTTATACATCTTTGTGGAAAGCATAAATAGCAAATATCTCAATACATATATTGTTTAGAAGGTTTAAGTTGAATTCGAAAGAAATTTAAAGGTATTCTTTGATCTCAATGAAATGTTTAAGGAATAATCAGTTAGACAGACAGATGGCAAGCATGGCAACACTACTCATAATCCATACAAAATACCGTAGACAGAGATAGACAGAGAATCCTATAGACACCGCCATAGCGTGTCGCAGAAAGAGACAAAAAAAATACGTCACGTCATACGTCTTATTTAGGGTTACAAGTGTGAGGAAAAATTTACCCCACAACTAGCTATAAAATTAGAAATTAGTACGTAAAGTAAGCCTGAAAAGGAACACTGCCATTAACGATTATCATTGATAGGTATTGTAGTGAATGGAGAGCTAAGTGGATTGTATTTGACTAATTATTTATTATAATTTACTTTTGTGAAGAAAGAAGAAACTAAAAAAATCTATAAATAATAATCTATCTGACTAATAAACTTAAAGAAACTATTGTGTAATGAATGAGAGCTTAGTGGACTGTATTTATGTAGGTTGTGTTTTAATCTTGAAGAAAGAAGATACTGAACTAACTGTTACCAGCCCTCTGTCACTATTGTTACCTGGGTGAAATAATCACCTACAATCGCTAGGCACCCAGAAAAAAAGGTAATCACACTGCTGATAACATGCTTCAGGCTATCAGACATTATAGGGAAGGATGGAGTATCAGAAAAGCAGCTAAAGAGTATAATGTATGCTATCCAACACTGCAACGTTACATTAAAAAAATGTAAATGTTAGTACTGCGGATTTACACAAGCAGCGATTGACACCCAATTATGATGTCAACAAAATATTTACTCATGAACAAGAAAAATCAATGACAGAATATATCAAAGAATGTGCGGTAAAATTTTATGGGTTATCCACTAAAGACGTTCGAAGCCTTGCTTATCAAATGGCAACTATTAATAATATTAAAATTCCTGATAGTTGGAAATTGGAATCGTGAAAAAATGGCAGGCCTTGAATGGCTTCGGTCATATAGATCAAGGAATCTGGATTTATCTTTGAAAAAACCAGAATCCTGCAGCCTTGCTCGTGCCACCGCTTTTAACAAAGAGACGGTTAAGATGTTTTTTGATAACTTAAAGAACGTTATGGAACGCCACCCATCTTTTGGAAATGGCTGTAGAATCTACAATTTGGATGAAACTGCTACTACAACCGTTCAGAAGCTGCTAAAAGTTATAGCACCTAAAGGGCGCCAGAATATTGGTTAAATAACTAGTGGAGAGAAGGGTACATTAGTGACAACATGTGCTATTGTCTGTGCGTCTGGGCAAGCCTTACCTCCGGCGTTAGTTTTTCCAAGGAAGAACTTAAAGGATTATATGATGACTGGCGCCCCCATTGGATCCCTCGAACTTGCTAATCCAAGTGGGTGGATGAATGCAGAGTTGTTTATTGAAGTAATGAAGCATTTTATAAAACATACCTCTGCAAGTTCAGAAAATCCAGCTTTATTGATCATGGACAGCCACGAATCCCATTTAAGTATTGAAGCTTTGGACATGGCGAAACGTTCTGGAGTGACAATCCTTACATTACACCCCCCATACAACAAGTAAAATGCAACCTCTTGACGTGGGCTTAATTGGTCCCTTCAAAACCTATTATAATAGTGCCGTAGGTTCATATACAATATAGCTGAGTGCGTAGGATACGCATATGCAAAATCAATGACGCCGGTTTATATAACCTCTGCTTTTAAAAAATGTGGTATTTTCCCGTTCGACGCAGACGTTTTTAGCGAAATTGACTTCATGCCATCTGCTGTTACCGATAGAGACCAACCGGAAACGTCATCTGCGAAATTAATGGCTGCACCTTCTGAATAATTAAACGACAGAAAGAATCTTGTTAGTCCGTCATCAGATATTACCTGTGCTCATAGTCCAATACTGTTTGAGGAAAACCCTTCTGAAGATATTGGAGGTAATAATACTGGAATCCGGAGTGCTGAAAGTCCATCTTTATTGTAATCTACAATTCTTGAACACATTATGACTCTTTTTGAAGCACAAAATTCTCAAAGTCCATCTTCAATTATGCACGAGGTTCTGAAAGATACAGGCGACCGGACATTTAAATCACCCAAAGAATTTATGCTGCCTTTAAAAAGTGGACCACGACCTGGACGTCGTAAGCCGAGAAAACTAGGAAAAAGCATGATTGCTACGGATACGCCAGAAAAGAATCAGATAGCTGAAGAACGAAAAAAACACGAGACAAGAAGTCTGCGGCAAGTGCAATTAAACGACCTATACTGCAAGAAAAAAAATTCGAAGAACCAAGGAAAAAGAAGAAAGCAAAGAAGGTTGTAATTCCATCAGATCCTGAAACAAGTGAAGAGAAAAATTTTGAGGTTATAGATTTGAGCGAGTCTGATATAAGTGGTAGAGAGGATGAAGATGAAGATCTTGATGCTGACAATTTACGTATGGTAAACGAAAACTTTCGAGAACTAGAAAGAAAGCCTAAATGTAATGATTACGTATTGGTATCATTCAATACTAAAAAGATAAAAATATATTATGCTGCAGTAATAACAGAAGTTTTGAACTCTGAGACCTACGTGGCATCTTTTATGAGACTTAAAGTAAAAGAGAATATGAAATGTAAATACTACATGCCATTAGAACCGGATTTTGCTGAAGTGAATATTACAGATATTAAAATGATTCTACCGCTACCAAAAATAAATGGCACAAAAACCCGAAACTCTACTTATGTTTTCCCACTTCGCATGTCACCAAAGTTAAATTTGCGATAGTAATGTCATTGGCTAGCTATGATGTTTATTCGTTACAGTTTTCTTTACTATAATTATTATGAGACTGATTGTTATTATATTTTGTTGTTTTTTTTTTAGTGTTTGATAATATTTTTTTAACTATTAAAATGTAAAAATTTTGTTTAAGTTTCTCTTACTTTCTGTATTTTTTAATATACCTAACAAAAATAAACTAATAAAATGAAGGTTATAAATAAAAAGCACTGTTTTATTAATGAAATTACCAAATTTATTGCAAATAGTAAAAATAATAAGTACATTGGATCCTGGCTCATTGTTAAATATAGCTAGGCTCATTGTGTACACACATAAGTACACAATGGATCATAACCCATTTTTTTAAAAAACCTTATTCATGATATATCTACAAATGTTTTAAGAAAAAAAAATAATGCTAATCTGTAGCCAATTAAATTTGCTATCTTCGCCTAAAACTTACACCTAATATCTTAAGAAACAGCGGAGTTATTAGGTTTTAAAATTTAGGTGGCCCATTGTTGGACAGGTTACCCTACATACATTACATTTACATGCGATGCGAAAGTTAATATGTTTATTTTTTTAATTTTTCTCTCAGGGACTCTTTACAATTTAAGTTATAAATTGCCAGTAGGCTCTCTTTTGCAAAACAAATATGACTTCAATGTCAGTCGCATTACCCCATAGTAAGATTCCATAAAACATTACGCTATGAAAGTAACTAAAATAAACTAATCTGTCTCAACATTGGTGAGAAAGTAACAGAAACAGAAACTTTTTTATTCAATATGTATTATAAATAATACTTATTGAGTCATTTTTTTTCGTTTACCACTGGTTTGCAAAAAAAACCTCTGTCCTCAGAAGAACCAGCAAGAAACCCAGCGGGATTTTTTTAAATTAATAGCTTACAATCATTTGTGTTACAATTTACAACATGAAACAAATTAGAAATAGTTTGGTAGCGATCATCCTTCTCAGGGGTTATTATCATCCGCAAATTCCTTAATATAATTAACTTTTTTATACAAACTTAGTTTAGTAAAGTTTTTGAACTTTGTGTATGTCAAATGTATATTTTCTGGGAATTTGTTGTAAAAGCGTATACATAGCCCCAAGAATGAATTACTGACTCGGTGGAGTCGAGTATTATTGTCATTTAAACAAAACAAGCTTCGTATGACGGTTCCAAATTTTTTGCTTGGGTTCACATGCTTTTGTGGCGTGACGTATACGCAGTTCAAAATAGTGCATGAAAATTGCCTTAATAAGTAAAACTTTGTGGTTTCCAATAAAAAGTTGACTTTCAAAATGATTCGTCGTAAATACATCCCGGCATCGTTTGAAAGCTGTTAAAATAAGTTTCGGTAATAGATTTTTTTTTGCAAAGAATGATACTTCTTTATGTGAATGTATCTTAAATATTCTTTCTGCCAACGTACATACTTTAATAACATCGCGTGAAGGATAAATAAGGCCACCTTTATCTTTTTTAAATATAAGACATAAATATTTGTCGCTAATAAGAGCTAGCAGACAATCTTCACATTTTATAGTTTTTCTTAATTTCCTAACTACAAACCCACCGATATATGAAATAATTTCTTCAGTATAGGTTTCATCGACCAAGAAATTATCATTAGGGGGGAATCCTTAATCGAGTCTTCGAGATCTTGAGTGCAGTATATATTAATTTTATTTTCATATCGCACTTCTGTGTGAGTTAAAATTTTTATATCCTCTAGATGTATACAGTTTCCTGCCTTAATACCTTTTATTTCCCCGTGTATCACTAGTGTTTTGTAGGCGCTTTGAAATTAAAAGTTGTTGGATTGTTGTTATAGCCGCCCTTTGATTGTATCGAGCTGAAGAAGCACTCCAGGTGAACTTGGCTAAGTTAGTATATAGGCAAAAAATTAAGTTTACCCGTCACTATGATATCAGCATACATTTTTATAAGATTTTGTATACATATTAAGAAACCAATCCAACTTTCCTATTTGTTTGCCAGACTGGTTTTCCCTCTAATTGCAACCCTCTGATGTAGATATCCATGATATTAACAAATTCTAGTATGCTATCGCCAATTTTACTATTAATATTTTTTTAAAACCATACATATTCAGAGTCCGACTATTGAAAATATCAAATAAGTTGTTAATTTTCCCTATAAAATCAACAGTAGCCTCGGAACCCGAAAATTTGTTGTGAATTCAATTGTTTGTTACAAAATTCTATTGCATCTGCCACGGAATTACTGAATGTTTGTGCCGCCAACTTAAGTTTCATTATTTGTTTTGAAAAATTAATATGCTGATTTTTAAGACGGTTAGCTAGATGGATGCTCCCTTTCTTGCAGATTATGAAGCAATTATATAAAATGCCATTAAATTATTCTACCATGCAGATTTGTTAATTAATTTTTCTGACCTAGTGTATTGCTGACAAGTTTCAGCATATGAGCTGGATCCGGAAATATAACTATGTGCTGTTTATCACAAAGAAAATACGAAGTAATATTTTTCAAATCATCGAAATTGCAACCTAAGTTTTTAGCCATCGAAAAGTTGGTTGGAGAGCCTTCAAAAGTTGGGGAGACTATATTAACACAATAATCTACTAACAAACCCATACCTTTAAACGAGCAATTCTTGTATATATATAATCGGAATCTCCGAAACGGCTCTAACGATTTTCATAAAATTTTGTGTGCAGGGAGTTTCGGGGGCAATAAATCGATCTAGCTAGGATTTATTTTTAGAAAATGTCTTTTTGTCCGTATGGGTATTAGGCAATGAAAAACTGTTACAATATCATTAGAATAAGAATGTAAATTTTGACAATTTATTAATGATTACAAATAGCGTAATTGGTATATTGGGCGGTCACAAAATCGTAATAACATGATTCGAGCCCAGACCGACCGACCGACTTTTTTTAATAATTTTTTCATTTCCTTCCTTTTTTGAGAAAATCTATTTTTCGAGTCCTTTTTTTAGTATTTTTTAAGAACACGAAAATTTAAATTAAACTAATTGCACTCATGATTTTTTATTCAAATAACCAGTTCAGTTTTTTCTATTATGTCGCTAAGATAAAAAAATATTATTCGTATTTCATCAGTATGTAATTTGTATCTAAATATAATTTTCAAAAAACACGAATTAAAAAAAAAACCGAGCGAAAAATACCGAGCGAAAAATACCGAGCAAAGCTCGGTCAACCGGGTACTATTCTACTAACAAACCCATACATTGTTTAATTAATGTTGTCTTTTGTTCGCCTGTTCAACCATCAATAAAAAAAATAACCGATTGGCATCTTCCATCCATTATTTATAAATGTTACCATAAACACCAATACCTCCCTAGCTTCGGCTACATTGTAACCATCCAAACTACCACATAGCTCACCAGACCTACACATTTTGTTCCATCCCATTGGATGTGCCTCCTTATAGCCATCTCATCCATGGTAACTGCACAATATAGTTCGGTTTTTTTGTTCTTTGCCACTAATTTAATGCATTCTAATGATTCTGTTGTAAACCCTGGGTTTGCATCTACACTTTTGTACCATATGGTAAGTGTGGATGGAAGAGGCAGACAAGTATTAAATTGTTGTCGTACATACGTGTAAGCCCGAGGAATTATAAATTGCAAGCAAAGAGTGAATTTGCGTAAAGATAGTGAATATTTTCTACCACTGGAGGAGGGGTTCAACAATTATTTCAAGAAATTTCTATTGGTAGGGTCAACAGATTCCAATAAATCCCCATGTTCTTCACTTATTAAAGACTTTTTTTTAAGTTCTGCAATAGTATTTTGCAGTTTAGCTACTTTTTTCTCGAAAAGTTTTTAATTTTTTCAGTCATTCGGATGATAGTTTTTCCGAGTGTTTCCATTTCTGTCGCAACGTTCGAGGAGTGTACTCTTGCCTAAAACCCAAAAAAAAAACGTTTAATAATCATAACTTTGTTACTACAGACACAATATTTTCTGATTGTAATACTTACTATTGATGGTTGATTAGAAATTGGAGGATTTACTATTTCAACTGGCTTTTGACCATTAATCGACGGCAATAGGTCAACAGCAGGATCTAGATATCTGAAATCAATTAATTTGTATGTTAAATCTGCCACAGTTTTAGTTTCATAACATCCATTGATCAAGCGTCTCGATAATGAATTAATGTATCAAGATTATAATTTATAACGAAGGTAATTTACTTTAATACTGTAGAATACATTGCAAAATTGAAGGACTAAGTGGACAAAGGTTACTTGAAAATTGAAAATTCCGACTTTTTTTTTTAAAAAGGAATTTAATTTCTAATGAACTTAAGTTTTATCTGATGATAAACCGATTCTTGAAGTTAAACACGCCAATTCTAATTCGTTACATAGTTACAGATGCTAGCATAGGTGTTAACTGCCAAATAAGTATATATTTCAGATTTGTAAATGTGCTATCAGCAGAAATATTTTCAGAGAATCATTGTCATTGCTACTTTTGGAATAATACAAGATAATTATAGATTAATAAATCT